AGTGCTCTGAGGAATTGTTCGGATTGATACTTGCTGCTGATTTTCATCATCGTACTACCCGCCATAAACTAAAATTTCATCCCAACCATCTGGACGGCTGGCGGTCCTCCACCGTGCGTTTTTCAAGGCATTTTCTTCCACGCACAACCACTCTTTGGAATCTACTTCCAGCAGCAGTATTTCCGAACCGATACGACAACATAACCTTCAAGAAAAGAGCATATTCCTTTTTAAAAGACCGGCAGCACACCAGCAATGCCTTTAGTGTTGTGGGTGACCATGGGCGGCGGTAGTCACTTACCATCAGGTGAGCCGCATGCTCGTTTGCCCCCAGTGTTGTAAAAAAATGCTTATTTTTCACCTTAGTGGTATAAAAAATACAGTGTTTAAAATATTTCTTGTAAAAAGATCGTAAACACATGTATCTTGTAATATCCATGGTATAATAAAACGGGCGGCATAGAATACACTAAGAGACTCAAGTTACCATTTTTGCGTATTCTTGAAGATCAAAGGTCTGTGCATACTACGTAACTTGCATAACATTCAATTTTAGAAGTTGAAACCTACATTCTTCACGACTCTGGAACGCGCTTCCTGATGCCATTAAGAGACTACCGACTAAACCGTCTTTCAAAAAAAGCGTTCACGCTCACTTTTTATCTTTATCTGAGCAGTAAGTGCTTTATGTTATTCTCAATTTCATGTATAATATAGTATATATCATATATGTGTAAGTATATTTATTAATCATTTATATTTATTCGTTTATATATGTAATTTTAGTATGTATGTATATCAATAATTACTAGTACCGCATTCGAGTATTCTGACACTTGCCTATGGTTGACTGGGAGAGAATGCTTTTAGCATTAAGTCCGCCATGTACACATATTTGTACTAATGAATAAATAAATAAATAAATAAAAACCGAACTAAAATAAACTTTTATAATTAAAATCTAGCGTTAAACCTTGTATAATGTATTCCTAGGGGCAAAGTGTGACTGCATTTAATTAATTCGTACACAAATGTAAATTACGCTATCATCAAACTGCAAGGTGCATGCTAAAGATAAGGGTGCCGTTACACTGGCGCCACGGCCCATCCCTACAAGTTTAATTAATTAACAGGTTATTTATTCGCTAAATTAATTTACCACCCGGCGTTATCTTATTAGCTTTATTAACATAAATATTTTAATTTTACAACCGAATTTTATGTTAAATTTTGAACAACTATTTATTATTATTATTTCGTTTAAGAATTTTTGCGACTGACTTTTGGATTTTAGCCACAACAGAATATCAGTGTTTTACTCTTTTGAGGGCAAAACAATAAAGTGAGTTGTGACCATTTTGTGTTATTGTGAGTGATGCTAATAAATTATATATCTATCTATCTAGCAACCACAAATAAGCGAGACTAGTGCAATTCGTCGACAATTAACCAGCAAATAAACTCATTATCTCAGTTTAATATGTTACGTGATTGTAGTGATATTATTTTATTAGCTGTTAGCTAAATTAGCTGTTTTTTTTTTCCAAAAGTTACTGGTTAGTTGGTTAGAACTATTTTGTTTATTCCCGCTTTCATTAGTTTGCGTGCGACTGCCAACATTCGATGTATGACTACTATTATTATTACCAGAAGTTATTTAACTTTTAATATTAGCCATTAATCTTCGATAGTCATTGTGTCCACGCATATTTTACAATAATTAAACTTACAGAAAATGGCAATAGCTGAGCTGCTTGCCTGTTCTACTTGACTGGAATTGCGTTCCGAATGGGTAGTAGAACTACGAAAAAATGACTATTCAAATACCTAAGTTTACTTAAATTTTTTCAGAAATCAAAATCTAAATTTCCAGTAACCGCTTGATAAATATATTATTGCATGTTTCACGTTTTAGTTCGCTAACAGCACTTTTTAAACAATATATTAGGCTAAAAATATAAACGCCCTTAAATATACAATTTGTATGAATGTATATTACTGGAATAGGCAACGAGTAAACAAACTGGTACATACGAATAGTTCATAACCTAGACACTTTTTGTTCTAAACTAGCTGGTTTATTATTATTTAACCTAGCTATTTAGCTAGTTTGAATAAATATTATATATATAGCTAGTTATTAGTTTTATTTTTGTAAATACACCCCAGTGAAAGTGTAATAACAGGTTGCAAGTGTGACTTTGTTCACGTTACGTTTGATTTATGTTTGAAGGCTATTTCTGTAGTAAGAGACATGAATAATGTATAGATTCCGTCTGACCCGATTTTCTGGACAGTATTTTAACACTCACGTTTGTACTTCAAATAGAATCGATGATATTATGTGTTTTGATTGGTACTAAGGCTCCAATTTCTTTTTTCTTTTCCTTATTCCCTCTTAAACAATCTTGGACTTTTTAAGTGTCTTAATAAATGGAGATATCTTTTTTTTAATACTTAATAATCTTACATTTTGGATTTATTTATTCATTAGTACAAATATGTGTAAATGGCGGACTTAATGCTAAAAGTATTCTCTCCCAGTCAACTATAGGGAAGTGTCAGAATACTTGAATGCGGTACTACTAATTATTGATATACATACATACTAAAATTACATATATAAACGAATAAATATATATGAATAACAAATATACTTACACATACATGATATATACTATATTATACACGAAATTGAGAATAATATAAAGCACTTACTGCTCGGATAAAGATAAAAAGTGAGCGTGAACGCTTTTTTTGAAAGACGGTTTAGTCGGTAGTCTCTTAATGGCATCAGGAAACGCGTTCCAGAGTCGTGAAGAATGTAGGAGAAAAGAGTTTGAAGCGTAACCAGTACGGTGAGAGGGGTAAGATAATTGGAGAGTTTTTTTTTAATTTTTTTTATACAACTTAGAATGGCAAACAAGCTGTGGCCCACCTGATGGAAAGTGGTAACCGTCGTCTATAGACATGAGCAGTATCATGAGAGTATTATTGGAACGAAGGTTACGTTAGGTTTACAATATTTTAAGGTACATAACAGTAATAAAATGGTACATAACATATAAAATTTATAACTTTGTTAATTCTTCAACATGGATCTACTCCAATAGCCACTCTAATTTACTATCCCTTCCTTTTTTTCTTTCCATTCTAAGCATAACCAGCTTTGGCTCTTAAATCGTTACATTATCTTTCAAGCCAATTATAAAGGAATTTTGACGATACTTTTAACAATATATATATATATATATATATATATATATATATATATATATATATATATATATATATAACAAGCATATTTAGGTACGTAACGTTTAATTTAACATATTTTTAAATGATTAATGTAGGGTATTTCTGTTACTATCAAATTATTTGGTCCCAGCATGCGTCATTACTTTCTATCGCGTGGTTGTAGTAAAAGATGACTAAGGGGATTTAATGCTCGAGGGATGGGCAGCAGCGTCTCTCTTAAAGTGTCACCAAATGCTAGCTGCGATGGCCAAACCACCTGCCTGAAAATTAAAAATTTTCTCATAGCAACTGGTAGTTCATTCCAAAGGCGGATTCATTCCATAGCTGTACGGCTATGGAATGCTTTACTAGCTTCCATATGAAATATAAAATATCTTTTAAAACAAAATTTAAGGACTTTTATTTGAGCAAGTTGTCATCTTCTTAATACGTTTATATGTCTGGTTAGCATACTTATTTCTTGCATACTTTTCGTGAACAGTATTTATATATTTTTATGTATTTGTATAGGTGTTTATATGCATGTATGTATATGTGTATATGTATGTATGTATATGTATATATACATATACATATATGTATATGTATGTATATATATATATATATACATACATATAATAATGAGTAGGGATAATATTTATATTATTATATGTATCACATCTCTCATATTTTTTCATCGTGCCTCCCACCAAATTGTTTATGCTTGGAAGAGATCGCTCTTAGCGATAAGGTCGCCCATTGTTTTCTCATTAGGATTATTTCTTGTAATTATTTATTTTTATCATAAGTTTACTATTGTAATCTTTTAGAGGAAACAATAAAGAGTATCTATCTATCTATCTAATATGGTGGCTTGTCATAAAATCTAGTGCGATGTCTTTAACTGGATGCTCTCAGACGATATAAGGTTTCTGGTATTAGAGGTATGTAATAAATAAAATTGTGCCTTCAGATAAAGAGGCGTTGAAGGATTATAGAGAAAATCATGGAGAAGAGATAGGATGTGATTATTTCGGCGAAAGAGATGATTGCTTATTACCTACACACAGATCTTTTAAAGAATGAATGAATGAATGAATTTTATTGCAAAAAATTTAGTACAATAAGATCATATGGTAGTATTATAATGATTTCACACATTTTGTCATTACTGACGTGCAACAGTCATTACATAAGTTATGACAAAATAATGTTTTAATATGTAATAATATAATAAAATCGTCATAGTCGTAGAATACTGACGTATTTTTATATGTAATATTCGTCAGATCCGTCAGTATTCTACGACTGTGACGAAATAACATGTCAAATTTTTAAACGTTAATAATAATTGCAATATACAGAAATGTCAGTGGGTAATAATGGTATGGTAACCCCACTGCGCTTCCAGTGACTATTGATGAATTCGTCACGATGGGCTAACTGACCTGCCTATTAGTCTTCACCAATCATCTCTCACTGGTGCCCCGCTAGTGTATACTGATGGCACAGGCTGGGTCATCATTCCATTATCATCCATTAAAAAAAAATACTAACAATCCCTTCCCCCCTCTGAGGATAAAGTTAGGTTAGTTGATTTATCGTAACTAATTTACTAGGAATTTATCACAATAGTTTCCAAGATGATCGCCTGGAGGTCGACCTGATATATTCCTAATAATCTCTTCCCCTTGTGTTGATGGGTCGTTATGGTATAGTGTAGACAGATATATAAAAATAAAAAATAAAATGTTTGTTCACAGGCGCGTGCGACGTGGCAGGCGGGGCGGGATCAGTGAACGCGCTGCCAGCGGGCGGCAGTAGTGCGCGACTAGCGCCCTCTTTCGATGCGGCGACGCCGAGAAATGTCACAGCTCTTGTTGGGAAATCTGCATACCTGAGTTGCCGAGTGAGGAACCTGGGGAATAGAACGGTAAGTCAATTTTACTTTGCACTAACAGCGGCGGAAGATTTTATCTAATCATGTCTATATACCGACCGATATATAAACGAGTACATATGTAATTGGGAATTATTGAACTCACTGTGTTTTTGCTTATGCCGATAATTGATTCGACTTCATCCGGAAGAATTCTTCAGTGGGCGTTTGGTGCTTTGCGTCACAGCGTCTTGCCTTCAGTGTAAGTTCATTAAATTCTCATTGTATATGTATATCGGTATAGATATCGAATAATAATGGACATACGGATAACATGACATTAAAAATTTGTATAATAATGTTATTATTTATAAATATATTATACATTATGTACTTATCCTATTTTATTTATTGTTTAGTCAAATAGCTAATATAGGTAACATACCTGTCTATATAGCTATATAACATGGCGGGTAATACTATGTTGTTAATCATCGTCATCGTCATCGTAATCAGCCCACTGTTCGACGCAGGCCTTTCCTAAAGCACGCCACTTAGAACTTATATTTATTTGAAAACATAAAATTTAGTTTACCCTCTATTTAATATTGAACAGTTTCATTTCGTTGCTATAATGTTAAATCCTGTTATAAACCATTCGTCCACTTTTCATGTAGCGTTTCCACCGTCCGTCTGAAACAGAATTATGAAAAACGATTTATTTTTCAGGTGTCGAATACTGCCAATAACCACTCAAAACCATAAAGTTATTAATATATTTTGTAGCATTTTAACAGGAATTTATTTAATAGTGAATATTTATCTCATTCGATGTTTCGATAAGGTAAAAAAATATATTTTTATCTCGTTATAGTAATATAATGTACCATTTTTTACGACTCAATTTATATATGATAGGATTCGATATTATAACATCTAATTATAATAGATATTACAATAAAATATTAATAACAGTCAATGACGTCATCTTATAAACTAAAATAAATACAACAAAAACCATCAAGAACTATTCGAATAAAGATCAGCGGTGGAACAGTTGAGTTTCCGTGCCTTCACCGCAGTCGGTTGCGTTTAATTGCTCGTGATAATTGCGTGAGGTCGACTTTCCGCTCAGCGCAGCTCGGTGGAACGCCCGCTTTCCGCTACCGCTCGCAATGGACGCCCACCGCATAGAAATCCGTGGACGTTACAAATTATTTCGACTTGACTTCTGTTTTTTTTATTTATTGACTCTTTAATGATAAACAGAATCAGTCATTTTCATATTGTTGATTTTTATCTTTACCTTTCCGAAAATTTTATTTTTGGAACTTAAAAAGGTCATGTGCTTAATCAGAAAACTTCGATGGTTTTATTTAAGTAGTAAATTTGTTTTTGAACAACTTCCAATATACTTTCTGTTTTCTAAATTTGTACATATTTTTTCGACTATTAATATTAATTTGTTGATACTCGACTCCTCAAGATTAATTCGAATATTTTTAACCTCGTTAATTACAGTGTTTTGTCATGTCTTAGGGTTTTTGTTAACTGATTTAAGAAAATCTCCTTTTTTCTCTCAATTCGTCGGAATATTGTTTTTATGTATGTTCCCTGATTATTCAAAAACGCCTGGACCGTTTCGGAAAATTCTATTTTTGTCAGGAATACTATACTTTCAGATTGCTTCCATAGAAATTTTATCAAAATCGGTGCAATAGTTATACCATATTATAACAACAAAGTAATAGGATTTTTTATTAAAAATATTTGATTTTACCGAAACTAAATAGTTTTTTTTTTATTGTACTTATTTGTTACTGTATTTCACTTGAATTATTCCCTTGTCATTGTATATTTTTGTTTATGGTGCAATAAAGAGTTAAATAAACCAGAGGTAGACTTTGTACAAAAGTCGATTACTTGGGTACCTCTGTCCCAAACGTGTTTCAACCGTAAAGCAGTTGTGTTTGCATGGCTGTGTTTCGGTTTGAAGGGTGGGATATGGCGTGAATTTACAGGGTACAGAGGAATAACACATGAGTCCTCAGGAATGGCAACGCATGGGGGGTAACATGGGCGAAACAGTATACTCTGTTGTGTCCATGGTACTGCTCATGTCTATAGGCGACGGTTACCACTTTTCATCAAGTGGGCCGTCAGCTTGTTTGCTATTGTAAGTTGTATAAAAAAAATGAATAGGTAGGTATTAAATTAAATATAATGGAATATCCACGCTTAGATAAGTGAATTCCTGGGCTACGGATGTCGCCTTCCGTGGCGCGCCGCTCGACTGCACATCAAAACTAAGTCGCTCTAGCTGGATCGGAACTATCGCATTCAATGCAAAATATTCGCTGTAAGCGTAAACAATTTGTCCAATAGCTGTGCAATTTGCTATATATAATAATAATATAATAAATCTTTTATTTTCAGATATATAACCATAGTTTACATTCATTGCGATTATAATTTAATTATAAATGATTAAAAAAATTTACATTATTAATTATACGTACAAAATATTATTATACTTTTAAATACATATACATTAATTAATAAAATTTAACCAATTTAAGATTTAAAACCAATTTAAATAATTTCATTATAAAATCTTTTGTCGTCAGGTATGCGGTGAGGAATACTGTCTTTATAATAGGATTACGTATTGTCCATTAATCTTCCATGAAATTTTGCCTTACATATGCGTAAAATAGCAAAAAAAATCATTAACCCTGTTCTCTGCAAACATGCCAGACGCACTACACCGCCATGGCAAGTCGAGCATCGCTCGGAATAGGTATTGCACACGCAGTGTGTTATAAGCTCTCTTCGTATAACTATACCATAAATGGATGGTGTGAAAAGCCTGACAATAGGACTTGAACAATATCAATTTGATTGTCGAATCACTGTTCGAAGCTAGTCAAATTGACATTTTTTATTTATTTTATTTTATTTATTCTTTAGTAAAAATATGTGTACATGGCGGACTTAATGCTAAAAGCATTCTCTCCCAGTCAACCATAGGGAAGTGTCAGAATACTCGAATGCGGTACTAGTAATTAGTGATATACATACATACTAAAATATTTATGTATGTATGTAACGAGTAATGTGTATTTAGTTTTAAAAAAGTCGCTTATTTAAATTGATATTAACTTGTCACCTATTAAACAATTTATTTCGTGCATCATCGTCATCATCATCTCAGCTATCATCTGTCCACTGCTGGACATAGGCCTCCCCCATAGACTGCATATCCTTCCCTTTTCTACAAATTTATTATTTATTTCATTGGATGTCCTACTTTTGAATTACTAGATTGTATCCTACAAAAAAAACCGAATTTAAATGTGGTAAAACCAGTTTTGTCGATTTTAAAACTGAACTACTGAATCGATTTTGATAATATTTCTATAAAACCAATCTGTAGGTATGCCCTTTCAGATAAAAAAAGGAAATTTACAAATCGGATTATAACTGACAGTTATGAGGTAACAAACATAAAAAATGCAATTGGGAGCCTCCTTTTTTGAAGTCGGTTGAAAACTTTATACCTACTTACATAAATAGTGTATTTCTTTTATATCTATGTCCATAATTCGCGAACGTAAGACGCTCCCACCTTTAATTATTGTACTCATATAAGACTAAGCCTGTATATAGTCGAATCGTCGACTCGTTAGAACGTTAGCTTTGAGTTCGGGCCAGATAATTGAATGATGGAAGCGAACGGCCTCTAAAGATTAGGGATATTACTGATACAGGGTGCGAGCCGGCTCGGAGGGGAAATTATATGAATTCTTGACTGATTTGCTCTCATCCCTCATTTATTGGCAATGCCTTTTTGATTTTTACTAGATTAATAAAAGATCTAGATCTTTCGAGCGATTTCAAAAGGCGAAATTCTTAATTCGACTTCTTAGTCGATAAACTAATAAAGTTTTATCATTATATGTTTTTAACTAATAGAAGTATACTTTTAAGATAATTTTGCTATTAATTTCATTTTCATTATATTCGGTTTTAACTGTCCACTGCTGAACATAAGCCTTCCCTTTGGGGGTTATGCCAGTAGCTCCCACGTTTAGCAGGCGGATTGACAACCGCAGTTAGGCTTTGGCGATGTTTTAAGAGAGACGCTGCTGCTTATCCCTTGCCCTCCCTTAGTCGCCTCTTACAACAATCACGGGAAAAAAGGGGTGGCCTATTCTATGTCGGGACCGACCCCTTTCTTTCCCGGGAGTGTCATAAGAGGCGAAAAAGGAAACTTAAGGATCGAGGGAAGGGCAGCAGCGTTCCTAAAGCCTAACTGCGGTTGCCACACGCTTGCCAAGTATAGCAGTTACTGGCAAAACGGTATTTCACGCCGGAACACCGCCTGAAGTTGTATAAAGCTCAAGTCAGGCCACATATGGAATACTGTTCTCACCTGTGGGCAGGAGCGCCACAGTACCAACTCCTTCCGTTAGACCGCATTCAAAGTCGGGCAGCTCGAATTGTTGACGATTGGCGCCTTACTGTCCGGCTCGACCCACTGAAACTGCGTAGAGATGTTGCATCTCTATGCATCTTCTGCTGAATTTATCATGGGGAGTACTCTGAGGAATTATTCGGATTGATACCTGCTGCTAATTTTCACCACCGTATAACCCACCACAAATTTCATCCCAGCCATCTGGACGAGTGGCAGTCTTTCACCGTGCGTTATTCAAGGCACTGTCTTCCACGCACAACCACTCTTTGGAATCAAGTTCCAGCATTAGTATTTCCGAACCGATATGACATTATAACTTTCAAGAAAAGTGCAGATTCCTTTTTAAAAGGCCATCAGTACACGTGCAATGCCGTTGGTGTAGCGGGTGATCATGGGCGGCGGTAGTCACTTACCATCTGGTGAGCCGTACGCTCGTTTGCCCCTTGTGTTATATATATATATATATATATATATATATATATATATATATATATATATATATATATATATAAACATTATTTGCATTATCTGGTAAAAATACATTATAATAAAAAGACCAGATGTACAACAATAA